GTTTCTTAGTAGACGAAGTATTTGCAACATGCAGGTTTGAGTTTTTAAGAAGTTTGCAATGCTTTAACCGAGAGATGCATCCCTAGTAATCACGTGATCATGCTGTCGACTGCAGCGATTGGCTGATCGCATGGTTACACCACCACACCTTAGTTTTTTTGACCTTTTTGATATAGAATGTGTAACCTTAGTAACGGGAGACAGTGCAGCAAAGGGCTGTGTCGGCAGACTGTTTTGAGGAAAACGGGACGGTTTGAGCCCTCCCTGGAAGAGTAGGATATTTAGATTTATAACCTTGATTTTTGTGACATTCTAACTATGTATTTAATCAGTGTGTTTACTCTTTTGATTTATACCTTTTATTATTATTGTATTTAACCCGTATGATGATGAGTAGATGAAGGTAACTTTGATTTATGAACGTGTTAGGCCAGGCGGCATAACCTCAGTTTGGGGTGAAGGGATGTGTCATGTGTAATAAACGGTCTAAGTCCTTGGTCCTAGAGAGAGCTCCACGAGGCGAGAGAGTCTTGGTGAGTCCTGGGCAGAGTCTCCGACGAGGTAGTTTGCCTTGAGGCATTCTCGATGTGGCTAACGTATTTCGTTGCGTGCGTCTATGACTGTAAACCTTAAGTGACTTTCCCAGTCCGGTACCTCAAGCAGACGTGACATAGAAACCATACGAGATTTTCCCCCATAACAGCACGGAGAAAAATTGTGTAATATGAAAAATAATCACAACATGGAAATAGTATAGTACACTTTATTTCATATCTATCGCTGAGGAATAATACATTGTCTGAAACTTCTGGTTATATTGAATAATTACAAAGGACGAAAGATTACCTTATCATTTTCTATATATTATGATAGTTTATCCAAATATATTCATCCATGTACACAGATAGTAATAAGGTCACATGACATGCTAATAATTTATGCAAATTTATTCATTCATATGCACAATGTGTACTCAATACTAAAAGCATATCTGTAATAGAATACTTCGTAATTAAACAGACAATGAAAGAAAGACTCGAAAATATGTAAATTTTGAATGCGTCACTGGGAGTACCTTGGGGCAAACTTTGAAAGCAAATGTTTGTTTTAAGATGACAATAATAAAGTCAATAATGTAGACTTGTAATTTGTTAAAAACCTTAATAAATATTATTACACCAGTAAATGCCGACTGTGATTGTGACTAACACAAACGAATTAATAATATATTCGTACGAGGTACGAGAACCTAAATTCCGATATTTTGTTAGCAACCTTATTAATCTTTTTTAAAAGCCTCTAGAAAGAAAAGTTCAGCTTAAATATCGCTTTCAGAGATAGTTTACCATCAAGAACTGTCAGTGACGTATTCGTATTTGCATAATCGTAAGCACCACAGGCGCGTACCACACTGGCACAAATTGCGAGCGAGTTTCGTACTCGATCGGACCATAAGACATGCCGCAGCCACTCTCTAATGCTTCCATAAAAGTCATAAAAACGTTATGAATATCTTCAGAAAGTATTATAACATGTAGTAAAGACCAGAAGATGTGTTCATTCATTTTAAAGTGACCGGGATACTGCAGCCTTGACATAACTCCTTGATAACCCCTGCCGAAATTAAAATTGTTCTACAACAGCTCGAAGCTCGATAAAGTTTTGATTGTTGGTAATCCTGGCCATCATGTCTCAAAATAAGATTTAAAAAGTTGGGTTGTTGTAACAGCTGAGTTGTTTGTTTTTTTAAACCGCAGATTATGTTCAGTGTTATCGATCTCTACTAAACTAAACTAAGGTGTGGAATGAGTGTTATATAGATAGGAGCACGATTTTGAAATACCAACACGCGTGCACAACAGGTTGACCTATAAACGAACCTATTTGGCAAGAACCGACTCGGTACGAGCCGATAAGGGGACATATAAATATGTGGTCAAATGACACCGCGAATGATGAGTATTCAGACTGTCAAGTCAAAATTATAAGGTATATTTTACCTTCCTTCCAACAAGTCACTATGTTTCTTGAATATCGTGGGTGACATGAATCTTTTCATATTTTGATTTCCTCTTGTATATTTTTTGTTTGTCCGTCGTTCAATTTTAACATATTAAGATTCGAACAGTATTATGGTGCAGAGCATACCTTGAGAGAACTCAGTTTGGCGTATTGGTGAGAGCTATATATGTATAGCGTTCATCAACCTTTTAGTGAGTGGACGACGTCACAAACCCCGACAATCTGACTAATCAAATACACTAGAAATACAGGGACAAGAAACTCCGGTTCTTTTTTTTCTCGCTCTCTTAGGATTCGATCGTTTGACGCGCCAGATTAAATTTGAATATTCCGAACGAATTTATGCATCGTAGTTTGGAAAATGCGTCACAGGAGGACTTAGAATTTTCAGTTGACAGGAAAATTTACGTGAGAATCGCTCTAAGGGATGGAGCATTATAGTGGGTGGGCGATGGCGATTTTTTTCGTCGCTTAGTTTTGCGTTATTTTTTTCCGCTGTGAAGTTGCTGTATTTTTGTTCCCACAATTGTATGAAATACCCTGAGATTCGGGCGTGCAGATTATTTCTGTTATTGATCCGGTTATGGATTTGTTGCGCGCACCCGAACATGACGCACCAAGAGATGTCGCAGAAAACGCCATGAAATCTCCAGCGTATTTGGTTTGGCATAGTTGTTAGGATATAAATTGTTTTAGGCGTGTAATATGATTTGTGTCAGTGCTACGCCATTCATATATATGCCAAAGATACATGAATTTCAAACGTCAAGATCTTCTGGTTATTTCGTTTTGAAGATTTAAGGTATAGATGCAAGTTCGTGTGCACTTGAGAGTGATTTTTTGTTTTATTTGTTATTATCCAAACAGTCTTGGCTATAGACTGTTAAAATTTCGCAGCATTGTGAATAGAAGAATATATTCAAAAGACGATTTTAAAATATAGAAAACAGGTACAAACATTCACCCTTCTGAATGTTTAGCAAGATTTAGCAAGGCTGTACATAAATAGTCAAAAAGAAACATGGCGAAAAAAAGTAATGACGGAATCTCTATATTATGCACTATATTTAACTCTTTACAAAACGATAATATGTTTAAATTTCGTAGCAAACTTCTTAGCCATTATCTCCACTTGTGTTTTTCAGTTTACCAGGGAAGTTCAAATCAAAGACTATAGAGAAGACTATAGTCTTTGGTTAAACCACAATCAATCTAGAGCTAGAGGGACTGTGGTTAAACAGCGTCGAAGACAGGAAGTCACACATCGCCGCATCGTAACTGAGGCCAGCATCTCATTTGCATATAAGATCAGCAGTGACTTGTCAATCAAAGAGCAACGTAAACAAACTTTCGGGACTTTTAATCACATATGCGTGCCTCGGTTCCCTATATTTTAAAATGGATTTCTGAGTATGTTCTAACATTGACAAAGCTCCGCAAATTTTAATACTATCTAGCTAAGACTGTCCGAGTAAGAAAAAGCAAAAAAAAAAACAATGTCACTCTTAGTGCCAACGAACCTGCATCTATAGCTTAACCCAGGCATATATGAATATACAGGTGAATCTTACGAGCCTACAGTATTCGAGTTGTGTTCACTTTTATACCTCCATGTCCCATTTCAGTGGCAGTCTAATTGTACACGCTCTACTATATAATGCACCCAAATCAGGTACAACAAACAGAATGCCACCCTTAACGCACGTACATGTCGTCACGTACAAGAGCCAATGACGTCTGTGTCTTCTCTATCGTACTACGTGGGACATTGACGTCACTAATGTAGATAATCTATGGTTAATCGGACATTGACATGGGCGTGGTTCGAAACTCATTCTAAGACAGCCAAATCAACTCATGAGGTACATTATTTCTATCCATTCATGTATTTCAGGGGTATTTTTTATCATCGCATATAACCATGCATGTGATGACAATTTTGAACGTCAGGTGCACCAGTTCATGTTATTTCATGTCAATATAATAATAATGGAAGCATGTTGTTTAGCACTTCTTTCATATAAGATAACACAGAAAACAAACAGTGGAAGAAACTAAAAAAATTAGGAAGAGAAAGAAATTCTGAATAAGAAAGTAAGGTTCCAACCCTTTCTAAAATCAGATACCATCTATCAGTTCTACTGTGCCAACAATAAACACAGCCCAACTAAACTATCATTATATACAAGTGAGTTGACGGTGATCATAGCATTCACATTTCAGAGGCGGCTGCACGAAATTTGGCATGGGGGCGAGATCTGCTCACCAACCTTACAAGGGGATCCGGGGGCATGCCCCCCCCCTCAAAATTTGAAATCTAGACCCTCTGAAACGCTATTTCCTGCATTTGGAGGGGCACATTTTGCTGACACAATTGGTTCCAGCTTGATTCTGGAGGGGCGCAGCCCCCTCAACATTTTTTCGAGGGGACGACCGCCCCCTCTGCCCCTCCCCCCAATGTGCCGCCGCCACTGCATTTCTACATCTACTTTTTAATAGTGTTTATAGACTACTAACATGACTTTATGGTGGCACGAAATCAGAGTACGAACTCATGATACACACTAATGAAGGGCGTTGTTCATTATGTAAAGTGTTTTTTACAAATAATACTGATAAGAAATCAGATGTTGTTGTTGTTAATATCTCTATTAAATTGTATTTTAATCTCACAGGTTTTAATTCCACCACCAATGTGCCGAAAATCTCAAAGTTAATTGCGAGATTATTATCAAGTGTACCTGAGCCGCAATAAAGTGAAAATTTCTCGCTAGTCGCGAAAATTACTACGTAAAACATTGAGGTCAATAATGTAGATAATTTTATGGTCAATCAGATATCTGAGATTATCCTAATGGTAGAGTTCGTGGTACGAAGCTCATTGCGTAAGGCACTGTTTGTTTTAAGTCAAGTGTCATCAAATAATAACGTATAAAAATCAGATGTTGCTAGTCATTTGGTCAGTTGCTGTATAATTCGTTCAGTCTGATTATGGGATTCCACTGACTTGAGATTTTGTTTTCACGATCATCTCCCCTTCCTTAATAATATTTTTGGTCAGACGAGACCTGAGTTAGAACACTAATTGGCAGTTAAAGTGAGGACAGTCAAGTCAAAGCATCAGGTACGTTATTTCTATTCATTTATGTTTTTCATTTTATTTATCTTCTCATATTACTATCCATATTATGTTTTGTGGAGAGTTTAATTTTGAATTTTCCTCTTTTGCCTTTTTTGTCTTTTTTTTGTAATTTTCTCGTCAATTGTATCATATTTAAGATTCAGATAGTATTACAATTTATAGGACATGCAACATGGACATAGTCGAACATCATCGACCCGTTTCTCAGATTCAGTTGTGATTAAGTCTCAATCATCCTGTGATGTCATTTTGATCAGTGTAATGTCATGAATTTGTTTTTGCGTATCTGTTAACCGACTTAATTAGCTGATTATTAGCTGAATTGCTGTGTTATGTCTGTCATCGTTTAGGCCTATTTGAAGTTTTGGACGGAACTTGGCTCAGTGATTTGGAACTAATTACCAGATAGCCGCCGCTATTCAGACTACTCATTTTGACAGTTTATATCCGTAGTTATTAATGTAGTGAACGATTAATCAAAAGATATGACGTATTCAGTGCTTAGTGTGATTGGCTTTATGATTGAAGGTTACGCCCTAGAGTCTTTTTACTGTTTTGTAATTGGTTAGAGTTTTGAAAGTGAATAAAGAGAGTTTGAGTTGGTCTTGGGGAGCACAGCACGATAGACGCTGTCGAGTGCAGTCCTGGAGAGCCTTGGGGCGAGTGTTGACGCAGTCTAAAAGAGTCTTGGGTCAGCCTTGCGAGAGTCTTGGGGACTTTTCCCCAGGGCGCTGTGTCTTATAGAGTGCTCCACAGATCGACTAAGACGAGAGTTGAAACGTATTTCGTTGTGTGTGTCTTATTTGACTGTAAAGTATAAGTGACTTCCCCGATCCCGTACCTCAAGGGGACGCGATAGAGAGACGAGACGAGATTCCCCCCTGACAAGTGTGGAGAACCCAGAGAGAAAGAGAATTTCCCCCTGATAGTAACTCACGAACGGCGTAACAGCAGACTTAATTTTTGATCAAGTAACTCAATAATGAAAGGGATTTCAACAAACTTTTGCCAATACAACTTTAACATTGTAAACATTGAATGGAGCCAATTTGGAGAATAGTGGTGAACAAAATGTCATTAGACGGTAGATGTGACGAAATATGTGTTTATGTGTGGCATCTTTCAACTGTGTTGAGGTGTGTAATTTGATTTGTGTCAATGAAACATCATTCACCTTATGATGAACATCATTCATCTTATGATTAAACTATAAACCTTATATTGCGTTTCGAAGATATAAACCAGGCATTTATTCCATAGGAATATATAGCACTGAACAAAATGTCGTGAACCTTGCTTGTACGCCGCAATGAGTATTTTGTGTTGTTTATTTCCATGTCCCATTTCAGTGGCAGTCCAATTGTACAATTTCATGGCCAACCAGATATTGACGCGGTGAATGGTACGAGACCAGAGTACAAACTCATGTATTTCATGGGTGTTTTTTCATCTTCATATATAAGCATAAATAAAATGTTTTACAAAAAATGTGAATTCGAACTTTGCTTGTTTTTGTCTGGTGTGTTCGTTTCCAATCAATTATAGCATATTTAAAACTCAAACAGTATTAATGATGCGAAAATTTAGTGAACTCAATCTGGCGTATTGTGGTGCAAAATAGTGTTTTATCAGACAGTAAACGTGTCGAAATTTGGGTCTATGTGTGGCGTCTATCAACAGTTACTATTTGGACGATGTCCCAAAAGCTGATGGTCTGTTTGACATAGTTGTTGAGATATTAACTGTTTTGAGGTGTGTATTTTGATTTGTGTCAATGGTAAATCATTCACATCGCTAAATATTCCATTAAATTAATACATCGTGATTTTTGGGTTAAACAATAAATCGTATAATGCGTTTTGAAGATTTGATGCAAGCATTTTACCCATGAGACAGATACAGCTGAGGGCGAAATGATGTGTACATTGCTAGCACGCTGCGCGTCTGGAGTATTTAGGTTGGGTTGTTCACCTCAATGTTCCATTGCGCGATACACCAAACTTAGATATAACAAACAACGCATCACCATTAACGCTTGTACATGCCGTCACGTACAAGAACCAATGATATCTGTTTGTACTTGTATCTCCTTCAATACGAACTACGTAAAATGTTGACGTCACTAATGCAGATAATGGTATGGTCAACCAGATGTTGACGCGGTGCATGGTACGAGACCAGGGTATAAAGTAATTATACATATTACATGCGCAGGGAGTTGTCAGCATGAATTCAGGTGTCTTCAAAACACTGATAAGAAATCAGATTTTGTTGCTCATATATTGTCAGTTGTTGTTTTATACGATCAATCAGTGTCATTCAACCTTTATGCACGCCACTATCTTAAGATTTTGTTTTCACGAGCCAACTCCCCTCCCAGTAATTGTTATAATTATTATATGGTCATACGACCCGAGTTAGGATACTGGCAAGTGTTGCAATTGAGGACAGCCGAGTCAAATCATAAGGTACGTTATTGCTGTCCATTTATGTATTTCATGGGTGTTTTTCATCTTCATATATAAGCATAAATAGGATGTTTTACAAAATGTGCGAATTCGAACTTCTCTTGTTTTTGTCTGGTGTGTTAGTTTCTAATTATATCATATTTAAAACTCAAACAGTATTAATGATGCGGAAATGTAGTGAACTCAATTTAGTGTCATTGGACAGTAAACGTGTCAAAATATGCGTATATATGTGGCGTCTATCAACAGTTAGTATTTGAACGACGTCTGCAAACCCGATGGTCTGTTTAACATAGTTGTTGGGATATATACTGTTTTGAGGTGTGTAGTTTGATTTGTGTAATCATTTATATACAACAGAGAACGCAATGTCATGAACGTTACACGCTGTGAGTCTTGAGTCGTTCATGTCTACGTAGGATTACACCGTGTCTTGTTCAGTGACAGTTGAATTTCACGTGCACGACAGGCATCATTGGTGAAAAATATCTAGGCGTTTATTGACAAATGACTCTCATTGTTCAAGAGTTTTTCAGATGAATCCTTCATACGAATACATAAACCGAATTAACTACTCTAGCGAAATGACATCCAAATGAAAATAGTAGTATTAAACGAATACAAATATATATTATGAATCGCCGACATTCTCCTGACTATTGCTATCAGTTCATTTTTTCGACTGATGTTGGCGGCAGCTGTGGCGTCTAAATGTGATCTGTATTGTGGTAATTGTATCTTTGGTGCTTCCACAGGTAGAGATGTTGATTTCATTTTGCCTGTTAGCATATCATCTGTCAGGGGCGGAATTAGAGGGGGCCGAGGGGACCGCCCTCCTATTTTACCCCCGTAAGGGCTTCGCGCCATCGGCGCTCGCAAACTAGGCCTTCGGCCAACTTATCGGCCCCCCTATTCCAGAATCCTAGATCCGCCCCTGTCTGTGGCAGGGGGTTGCGTTGTGTCGTCGCTGAATGACATCATAATAAGGGTCATAGTGTTCATCATCCGTAATATTTATGAACGGTAACTGTGTCAATGACTTGGCGTTGAGTAGATGAGGCGGTGTCCTAACAGACGTTATCTTCGATTAATTAAGGTTGAAAGTTCACAAAGGTGACTAGCACCTTTTTAATGGACTTCTTGATTAATTCCGAATAGCCCTTTCCAGAATCCTGCGAACCACGGATGAATGTTCACTCGACGCGATGAAAACTGAGAACTTCTGCAGTATCGCGTAGATTTCGTATTTCTACGGCGGCAGACATGTAGGTGAACGCAAACAACATTCGACTGGGTAGGGAGACGTAAGCGTTATTTCAGGAGTTTTGGTCGAGACTACCCATGAAATCCACTCGACATACGTCGAATGGAGGCATTATATTTACGCGGTATGATGGCAGCGGTGCTTGAACAAGGTTGGAAAATGGTTTCCATCGACCTTGCAATGAGTCACACGACTTCTCAGTATGCTGCGTTCAACCTGGCGTATTTTGGATATCCAGTGTTGGACACCAGAATGTTGTAAGAATCCCGGGTTCCTGAACGAGTACTGTCACGTAGGTTATTCTTTTATTCAAGAAGGTATTGATAGTGATGCTGTTGGAAAACAGTTACGCAGTCTCTTGTTGTTCCAGCAAATGGTTTGATTCGTGAATTTAGTAAATCTTCACGTGATGTCAAATGTTGTTTGTTCAGTAGGTATTGCTCTAATATGGAGTGTAGTTACCTGTGACATTTTTTGTTCAGGACTGATTTTAATCGCATTCATACTGTTTGTATTAAGCCATTGTCTGTGTATTTTGTTTCCTTTTTTGATTATTATGTGTGTTATTATTATGGGTTCTTCCTGTAATGAGGAAATTAATAATCATATTAATACCTCAGGTGAAATTATGATAACACAAATGCTGGCAATGATGGCGAGGGATCAGCCTGTTTAGCTGACTTCCACACTACCAGTAAAGCTATTAAAAGGTTTTTAATTTATACTCTCATTGTTATGTGCCAATTTCAAGCCAAACCCGAAACTAGCTGCAAATTATCTTGTACAACATTGGACATTGGACACAAAATACACCAGAAGTAACGTGAACCACAATATGAATTATAATGTCCTTTGCAGCGAGAATCAGTGCGACTGGCCTCTGTCTTTGAATGTGCCCGTGAATCACAATAACAATACAATACAGTGTTCGAGTGGAAATACAGGACGTTTTTACATAATTATATGATTCTACAATAGTGAATGGATTTGACCCCAACAAAAGGACAAACTAAAGAAAAAAAAAGTGATTAAGTTGATCACAATCAAATTTGTATTCTCCCATACAACGAAAATATTTATCACTGTAAATGATCAATCTTCATAAATACTTGTGTCACTAACACTCACCATAACAATACTAATCTCATAGGTAATGCCATGGGGTCACTGCATCAACAAGTTGTATTAGATGACCGCGACCTTGTTTTAAAAATAGTGGTCAAGATGAAAGAATATCTGGCCGACGATACCCTAGATATCAGTGACAAATTCATAAAACAAGATGAAAGTATTGTAACACAAGTTCTGGGAGCGTGGGAAAAGGCATTTCTCTACTATAACGTCAAGTTTAATAAATCAGCGGATCCAATAATGCGAACAATAATGCGTAAATACCACGCCGATCAAGAGGTATGTAATGAATATTGTACATTCTGTCCCTGATTGTGTTCTATGTCCGCCCATCGTCCAGTTGTTAACTCTCTACTCTAACATTGTTCAGATTTCTTTTTACATATCTTTCCTAATTATGCCATAATCCATTCAGAAAACCGTCAATATATTGACAAATATATTCAGAAATAAACATATTACGTAATAGCATGATAGCAAACTTACGATTATAAATGTTCACAACTCATTCGTGCAATAAAACCAGGATGTCTAGGATGTCTTGCAATTTCAATTTCTGTACTGTATAAGTCGTTTGGGTTTGAAAGCTGCGAAAATGAGATATTTTGATAAACATTAGATCATATCGTGACTTACAATATCATATGTTTTAAATTCGTGTAATATTTGAAAAGCTCGTAACATATGAAAATCACACCACACGTTCAATAATCATATATCTTCATATGTATCATGTATTTTATGTTCCAACACGTGACATGCCTTCCAACTGCCTGGTCGCACATCTCCACTTCTCAAGCAAATCGCATCGTCAATTGTTATAAACATTCAGGTTGCAACACATCACAAACAACCACTGAAATATGGCTGACACTTTCCGAACATTCTACATCACACGACCGTTAATCAGTATTAAACATGTGCTAATTCAGCATACTGACGTTATTAAGTAATATTATGTAAATATTCGCCATCAGATCATGGACCAAATTGCTGTCAATGGATGGACATACTCTGATGTTACACTGGACGTTGGCGATGAGGCCCCAGATGTTCAAGTGCATTCGCTGGATGATGAGCAAAAGTATAGTCTCGTTTCAAGATGTCACATACACAAAACAAAACCGCTGGTAATATTTTCCTCATCGTGGAGCTGACCCTTCATGTCGGTAAGTAGTCTGTCAATATCGTCGTTTTAAGTATTTGTGTATTTCTTTAGGTGCCCAATGTCAATCAACAATCTTTCCTGATTGTTTGGAAAGTACTACATCGACCCCCTGGAGTAAATAAATTCAAGATTTTGTTATTGATTGTATATTCTACACATTTATGTTCTCATTGAAATATATATTCAAATTTTGTTTTTCATTTCAACTTTTATTTGATACTAATTAATTTTTGAACATTTGTAAAGTTTTTTGTTAACCAGGGTAGGCTCGCATCCCTTTATAATGTTTATAAGGAGAAGGCAGAGTTTCTGATCGTCTACCAGCTAGAGGCTCATCCATCAGATGGAATAACCTTGGGTGAAAGTATGATACCTCAGCACAAAACCATTCAGGAGAAGATAGATGCTGCAAAGCTCTTGGTGGATGCTGTCAATACAGAGACCGAAGACGTCGCTACAATAGACATTGATGATGCTGATAAGGTAAATTGAATTATTGTACTTATTGAATTAAATGTTTTCAATGACAACTAATGAATTTATTTACATATATACTTTGAGATGATGCACAGACCTGGGAGTCTGTGATGATACGCAGATATTATTAGTTTCTGGCTGCACATAATAATTACCCAATTTGCGTAATATTTAGTCAATTGTAGGATTTCTACAGATGTCTCAAATCCTAATCATCACATTTCATTGAAACTTGGTACATAGGTACTCTAGGACAATGCAAAGACATATTAATTACCAAACTTGCATAATAATAAGCCAGTTTTCAGGTTTTCCATTAATAATTTAAGTAGTCATCATCGTATTCAAATGAATCTAGGTGCATAAATATTCGACATTGTCTTATTGTAAGTGCCGTAAAGCACAATACACGGACCTGATTAGTTTCAGGTTGAAGTTCGGACATATCAATTACCTAATTTGCATAATATTCATAATTATCACATTTCAATGAAATAGAGGCTCTAAGGGGCCTATAATTATTATTATACATTTCAATGATGTGGATCACATTGACTATAGCAAACTAACATTAGTCGCTAAGCGCTAAACTAATATTAAATTGCGCGTTAATTTCAAATATATCTCACATACTGTCGCCACACGGGACTTCTTTCTGAACTTTTTTTAGTTGAAATTATTCTGATAAGAGAGTTATATTTAAAAAGCTTCGACATACACATCCATTAATCTAAACTCAATAGTCATAGAAGGATTTCAACAAAGTATAATAAATATTTAACAAGATACACGTACGAATAACAATACCGATATCAATAGACATTAAAACAACGTCATATTAACTTACCATATTCGTCCTCTATTGTAGACTTTGGAATGTTTGTCCATCCTACAACAAGATACACGTACGAATATCAATACCGATATCAATAGACATTAAAACAACGTCATATTCACGCACCATATTCGTCCTCTATTGTAGACTATGGAATGTTTGTCCATCCTACAACTGAATGATATAGAACTGATATATCGCATATGTATTGTGATGGCTTGGAGTTCTATTTAAAGCGGGAGCCTCAGGGTCGTCACCTGCGCACGCGCAGGAATTGAGTCCCAAGCGACGATAACAACACACGCTAAAACACAAAGGCTCATGGGTAGACGCTTGTTTGTAAACAATGACACGCTATGGTAAATACTAAAATCGCGTACGTGATGCTTCATTGTGAGCAGCCTCTGTAGGTAGACTCTTCGACGGCGGAACAGCTTGAATTGTGAACATGTCATCGTGAAAACCTCTGAAGCCAATTGGCATGCCTGAATATTCTTATTATGTATTAGAGAGCGAGTTTAATAGAGATTTAGTCAGTGATAAAACAGTCGTATTACAGTATGCACATTTTCGCCCGTCAAAGTATTTTTTTTCCTTACACTCGCTTAAGATACAACGTAAAGGCCTGCTATGACTCGCTTATTCATGTAAGTTGTTATGAAAGACAGTAACCAATCGGCGCTTGTCTTAGAACGGGGGAATTGGCCGCGCACTTGTACAGGCCGATTGGTCCTTTGTAGTTAACGGTAGACACGCTGATTTCTGCATTTTGCAAGCTACTGAATATTTCACTGTAGACGTATATCACCACCGCGTTTTTGCGGTAACCACTAGGTGTCTCAAATTAAATAAGCCGGGTTTTACGAAGATGGGTATAATGCGGAATAATCAGTCATACCGCAATCCATAAACTCAGTTCTCAAAACAGTTAGTTTAGTGACTATTTTCGAACCATTGGCTATGAAATTAGAAGTTTAGCTAAAACCTACGGCCTTTTGAAATCGTGACCGAATCTCCAAACTCATCTCATTTTCCTTCTGCTTATGCTGACCTCTGACACGTAGAACAGATTCTGGGTACAAAATCAAACCGATATCCTAACTAGATAAACTTCAAAAGGTTCCAGATACAACATCACAGAACTTGTGAGACGATTAATTGTATGGCGTTCACATTTTCAAAAGTCGTCAACGATGTCGTTATTCAGTTATTTTTTCTTTAAGTCAAACCATAACTGTAGATGTAATCTCTGTAGGATTTGTTACTGATTACAGTTGAAAAAATACCTGATCAAAAAACACCTAGACTCGCATAATGTATAATGTTCTCTTAATATGCAATTAATCTCGACAGATCCGCGTCGTTAGCGATGATATGGAACATACATTTGCCAGTATCTATGACTGTTACCTAGAAGATGTTTTTATTATAAAAGACGGAAAAATATCAATGATTGGAAGCAGAATGGTTGAAGATACAAGAGATCCAAATTTGATATTCTGGATGGCTGACGTAGTGGAGAAGTGGCTGTCTTCAAATTAAAAAACTGTTACTGTAGTATAACCGAAAGTCTCTGATGAATATAATTGGTAAATGACAGCAAAAATTGATCCACCCGTTCATTCAGACTTTGAAGTACAATTTACAGCAAGAAACAAACTGAAATACAATTGTTTCCTTGTTTATCTTTTAAACAACTTACACTGTCGCGTGTGAACAATGTCCTATGACGTCATATGGTTAAAACAAATGAAATTCTATATGACCGAGAAAGAAATACATATGTTCTATGCGTAAATTCCTTGTTATTAGATAAACAAGGATTTCAACCATGTCTTTTATGCGCAATACTGCAAACAAGCGTAGTCCCTGTAAAACATAAATTCTTTGAGCGCATTTTGCAATCAAACGATTTGATTTAATCCAGCATAGTAAATGACGGTCGAGCTTTTCTTAATAGCATGTGTATGTTATTTTATATTGAAAATGCTATTACTCTGATTAAGAATGCCGAACACGCCTTTATTTAATTTACGAATAAAGTATAGGTCTTACTAGTCATTAAGCCGACCCAATTTAATATTTTTCTGTTTGTTTTATTTTGTGTTGCCGGTCAATTGCTAAGCGGTACTGCATTTAAAATAGCACACAAGTGTGTCAGATTTATGTTTGACTTTGTGGAGATAATCTGGTTCAATCTCAATTTGCTAAGGCTTGTTACAAATTTATTATACTAACCTTTTTAATCACGCTTTAGTTACCTCATTTGCACAATGACAGATGTTAAAACAGTAGTATAGTAACTATTGTCTGTCTGTGATGGCAAAGAGGCAGGGGTATGGTAAATGGGGTCACATGACCAGGGGTATTTTATTGTGGGGCAGAAGATTAAATATCAGTGTAGGCCAGCCTCGCTACGGTATAGTTTTCAAATTAATTTGTAAGTTTGACATTTTTGTATAGCCTATGTCGGCTTTTTGAGGTTGTTATTTTTTCATTTAGTTTTTAATTTTTCATCAGCACATTTGTGCACTACGTGCAATGTAAGTGCAGACGTTTTAGTCTGCTTTTAGTGTGTTGTGGTAAATAAATGGTTCGCCGGACTGACTGCAGATACGTGGCCGCACCTGGCATGAACCTTAACTTATATAAGTGTGTGTTGTACATTGTTGGATGTGGTGATTTTAGATAAGACTAGTATTATATCTATCTTTATACGGTATGCATTTTATGTTTTAATTGTGTATTCTTAACTGAAATAATATCGTACGACTTTGAACTGTAAAGCGTACACGATGGATGCATTCAACCTGATTTCCCAGTGGGTCACTAGTAGAAACATATCAACGTGTATGGGAGGGGTTTATAAATTTGTTTCATCAAAGTTAAACTCTGCAAAGCACCCGTGTGAATATGCAATCATTGTTGTTTTATAAAATATATCTAGGAAATGGAAATTCTTAACAGTCAATGAAGGAGCAATGCCATTAGAGATTAGGAGATTTAGCATACGATGCTGCAATGAGATAATATGCAAATTGGATACATACAGTGCACGATCATGACCCCAATCCTAACCGTGTCTGCACATTACCCCAAGTTAACTGTGTACTAAATTTAATCATATTCCACTAGGGAGTTTTGAAGATTTTGCTTACACAGACTGAGATATTTAATATGAGTTAATTACCTATTTGATATGCACGGACATGGCCCTAAAACTAAACATGTCTTTGCATCATCCAGAGGTACCCATGAACCAAATTTGATCAAGATCTGTTTAGAAAACAGACAGACACAACACGGTCGGGAGCTAAAATGTGGCAAGGGATTTCTTTTCATACATCAACTTCTGAGTTTTAATTAATGCGATTGTCTGATTTTACTTATCATGTCCGGGCGGCAACACAATCACCTGGCGGGAGCGTGAACAAGTCCTCCATTCCGTTCAGTAAATTCACCATGTACAATGTGCAAAAGATTTACACGACTTTAAGTCGCGCATTGTCACACTCTATAAATGGGGCGAAATTAAAGTGAAATTAAATTAAAGACGATTCTCATTGAAGATTCCATTTCCGGAACAACGCACAGTCAAAGTGAATTAATTGTGGAATTTACGGCGAGGACATTTAAATGGCTAAAGACTAATCCGAACAATAAAATTTTAAAAAATGGTGTGAACGAATAGAGTTGAATGCTAGATGTGTTTATCATTTAATGAAACGTAGAAAGAAAAAAACGGTTGAAAGAAAAAATTTGGTAGAATGGCGTTCGGAGGGAGAAGCTGTTGGTCCCCTGTACTGCCCTACACCGTGTACGTAAAAGATCCAATTGTTCCTGTCGAGTAAGCAAATAACACAGAATAAACGGCAAGGTAAAGACTATGTCTAATTATAGTAAATACGTACTGCGTGCGTGACTCGAACCGGCGCTCGCGTACGGCACCTAATCGCCTAGCTTCACGCCACTACACGTCTTCCCCTCGGCCACCGGGCATCCCCAAAAAAGGATGCTTAATAACCGAGCTTATTACGTGCAGAGAACGTGAAACCCGTCCACGCGATACGCGCCACACAGCAAATGAGTAGCCGAGTAGCCGTTCCTGTCGAGTAGCCGTTTCCACAGAACAACTAACGCATTCTTGCATGTTTGTGGTGTGCCGTCCCGAATTTTCGAGTCTGTAATCAGGTCTGATCTGTTGTCCAGAAATGATTGTATGAGTGGGTATCTTCAATCCAATGGATACTGGCTAAATAAATACATATCATTTGAAGCGAACACTCGTAATTAATTTGTTGATTCATGAAGTCAGCCCAGACATGGCATAAAAAAACATGCGAGATAAACACGTGGGGGCAAAAAGTGACACCAATCGGTCAAAGGTCATCAAAATGTAAAAATAATAAGCAACATTATTCAATCCATAATGTCTTGCCGTTGTGTACTAAATAAAAACCGAGTTTGTGAAAACACCTCTCAGAAATGGAAAAAAACGCTAGTCTTGTTAAAAAAAAAATCGTTATGAGTCAATACGCAAAACATAATGACGAGCATCAGTAATCAGCCATGAGTGATGTCAACGCCACGTTTGGATAAATCGGTCAAACATGTGTTGTATTTGTTGTTTTTGCAGAGTTAATATTTCAGACAAATAAAATAAATATTTATTGGCCTGGTAGCCTCCTCTTTTTGAATAGCCTATCTTGTATAATCCTTTTCAAATATCATTTTCAAAACATACTTCGCCCAGTGAATGCTGATGTATGTAAAATCAGCGGTTGAAAACGTCTCTGTGAATTACGTGGTAACAAACTATGTATCAGAGGCGACTAAACATTCATGTTTCGCATTTTAAAACGCTGTTGTACCGATGTATGATCCCGTGTCTGTTCCATACTCCAGTCGGACTCCGTCATGGAGCTGTCCCCTTCGGTATAGTATGCACCAAAAATCGCGTCTTCTCTTTGGTTATGATAGGAACTACGGTCTGATTCCTTCAATAACTTTTTTCCTCTGACATAGTGCTCGTCTTTCTTTTTTTCGGGCCTCTCTCCTTTTCATTCCGCGTGGCATTGTTGTATAATAAGTACACAGGAAACGAAACTGGTCTTCCCGAAACATGATTTGCATATTACTGTTAAGCTCCAGCAATCAATCAACATTAATTATGCAAAATTTATGCTAATTAAACAATTAAAGTAAGTAGCACATGTGTTTGTTTTTAATAATTTAAACCTAGTTTATTAGCATTTTCCCCTGCAAGCGGCGATAAGCTGATTTTATGTTTGCATCAGTCTTTTGAGAATACTATTCGAATATGATTAGATGGAAGAAAAATGAAGATATTTGCAAAAAGATATAACTAATACTGTCAGTTGTTTTGCACTGCTCTTTAAGCGTTACAGAATATACCAACAAAACTTGAAATACAATTCTCTATGTAATATTCTCATATGTGTGAGTTGGTAATAAATTCACAGCTGTGTGAGTTGGTAATACATTTTTACATTTGACACACGAGATAATGAAACTATACTGACACTAAAGGAACTTTTAGTACGTGTGGCGCGTGTAGAATGTTACATGTGGGATGTAACTTTAGAATTAAACTCAAAAGATTAGTTGTTCATAAATTAAGTATCATGAATTTCTAAAAAGAAGGTTTATATAATGTCAGTATATTTTCCTTGGCTCGCACATTAAATGTATACTGTATGTTGCATAGTTTTTACTGTGTAGCTGGCAACTGAAACTTTGAATCATGAAAAAATGCTAGTATACGACTGGAAACAATATTTAATCAATGGTGACATCTGACCATTGACGTCATTGGTGAACAAGCAACCAATCAGCGGGAGCGATTTGATGACGCGCCCAGCGTTCTGCTAATCACGATGTAATTGTTGCTCGTGATGCAGATGGAGATGGTGACGAACGACTGGTATCGTTTGTCGTCGCTCTGATTATTTGAATGTTTAATGTAGTGGCGATTATGATCTAATTTAAAACATATGTATGTATGTATTTATCTGCTGTGAACTTTCTTACATTATCATGTTTTACAACCTTCGCAATGATTACAATGAGATGATTTTCTCGATTATTCATTAAATTAGCAAAGCTATTTTAAATTGTATTTTAAATGAACCAAAATAACTATTGAGTTGACTGAAAAGTGGATGGTTGTACTGACTTGAAGATACAAAAAATGTATATCGGAAATGAAATAATATATCAGGCCTTGGTAATTGCTCAATGGCCCAAACAAAAATAGCGTTCGTTTGGGATTAATATGGAGTTATGTGATGATGTCATTTACGACACGTAGATAAGGTCAATAATGCAAATGTATGGGTTGTTATGCAAAACATGGGACCCACATAGAAGCGCACGCAACGAACATCGCCATGAACAGTACGAATACCGGTATATCGTGCGCGATATATATGAAAATCTACAAATCAGTGCTACAAGCAGATATGTATGATATAACGTATGACGATCTATGTGTGAATTTTAAAATTGCATCAGTTAAAGCA